AGGGGGCTCGCACGTGCAGTGATAAGAGCCCACGGTGTTGACGCAGCGGCCGCCCTCACAAGCCGGCTCCTCGTCGGCGCATTCGTCATTATCTAGGGAGGCGTGGAGCGGCTGGTTAAGAGGCAGCCCCCCAAACCCCCACCCTTTCCCGTTTCTCTCCCCAGCGCATTGACAGCGTGAGAGATGAAGTCTAGACTCCAGGAAGGACTTCCCGCTGGTGCTGGCCACATTCCAGCGAGGGGCTGGAGTTGGAAAGTCTGGGGGGCGTGGAGGAGGTGGGGCTCATACCAACGCACTCCAGCCGCTGTGCATAGTAGTAGTAACCGTTGCTGCAGTAACACGAGTAGCCAGGGGCTGTGTTCACGCACACACCGTTCTTGCACACCTGGTCTCGGAACAGCTGGCATTCGTCCACATCTGCAGGAAGGGTGGAGAGAGATGGGGGCGGGTCAGGATGTGGGGCGGGGTTATGACCAGAGAAGATAGAGACAGAGAGATACAATAGAGACCCAGCAGCAGAAAAAGAAAAAGATGGAGACAGAGAGACAGAGGACAGGGTGGGGTGGGGGAGACAGATACAGAAAAACAGGTGAGGTGAGAGACAAAGAAAACAGAAAGAGACAGAGCTGGGCCTGGGGCTGAGGGAGGGTGGGAGCTGAAGTCTGGTCTTACCTCTCCGGAGGCTCGGGTCTCCACTGGGCACCAGGTAGCCCCGGCCATGAGGGCACAATGACTGGTACTCGGCTGCACATAGAGACAAGGCTGAGCCCAGACACCCAAATCCCAGCCCTGGCCCTGGGCACTGCACCCACTCGCACCCACCTATCCCAGTGCTTACTCTTGCCCCATGCCCAAGTCCTCAGGCCCCTGCCTGTTTGTGCCCACCCCTCAGCCTCATGCCCATACATGCCCACCTGGCTGGCAGCTCACTCTTGCCCTGACAGTACCAGCACCACAGCCCTGTGTCCAAATGTGTCCCCTTTCCCAGTCCCACATCCCCCTATTTCTACCCAAACCCACTGCCCTGTGTCCAGCCATCAGACCATGCCTACCTGTCTCAGTGCTTGGGCACTGCTGGATGCGGCAGCCACTGCCCCAGCCCTCACCCACAGTACAGCAGCATTCCTGCCATGTCACATTCCGTGCCAGGATGTTGTCACATGCATCCGGGGCCGCTGTGTCAAAATAGCACTCCCGGCGCCCACTGCCCACAGGGCCCTGCCTAGGTGTGCTGGGCCGGCGGGGCGGGGGTGGTGGAGGTGGCCTGGCTGGCAGACCAGGGCTGGCAGGTGCCTGGGGCTGTGAGCCTGGGAACATGCCTGGGGAGGCAAGGGATTTTAGCCCAGGATAGGCTGAGCCCAGCTCCCAATGTCATCGACGGGGAAACTGAAGCCCAGAGGGCACCAGCCCTCAGTGGCAGAACCAGACTCCCCACCTTTCACCCATCTATCATGATCTCTCTTTCTCTCTCACCTACTCTCACCTACTGTCATTTCTGCATCTCTTGCCCCCCCCCCTCACACTTTCCCATCATTGCAGCTACAGTTTGGAGTGGGCGGAGAGGGGATTTCCCTGGCCTCTGTGTGCCTCCCTGGGTCCTCACATCCAGTGTGTCCCAAACTGACTCAGAGTCTTCATCCCAAAACCTAGGCCTTATCCTGAACACATCTTCCCCACCCAGGCAGCCCCACATCTTGTCCACATGGTCCCTCTTCTTCCCTCCCATGGCCCCTGCCTTGGTCTAGCCTTTCCTCTCCTGTCTGGATCCCTGGCCCAGCCTGCTCCCTAGGCTTCCACCCGCCAATGTCACCCTCTTCAATCACCTTCACATGGCAGTCAGATGGAGGTTTTAAAATCTGAATATATCCTTTTCCTGTTCACACCCTTCCATGGCATCGCTGTGCCCTCGGGAAAAGTCCAACCTCCTGATTATGGTAAATCAGTATAGTCTGGTTCCTGTCTCCTTCTCTGGCCTCATCTCTCCCCACCCCTTCCTTTGCTCTCCAAATCATACCATGTTGAACTTCTTTCAGTTCTTCAAACATGCCAAATACTCTCTTGCTCTGCCAGGCCTTTGCCCTTGCTCACTCGCTTCACCTGGCTCGTTTCTACTTTTCCTGCTGCTCTCAGTTCAGTCAACTTTTCCTAAAGGAAGCCTTCCCTAACCCTCTTCTCAGGCTGGGCCAGGCAGCTCCTCCAAAACACCCTAGGTTTCCCCCGACACAGCCTTGTTACCTCTGGCCTACGCTTCCTCCCTCTCAAGTCTCTGGGTTGTCACTATCTGGTGATATCTGTCTGCCTCATTAGATTGTGAACCTCTCGAGGAGAGAGAGTGATCTTTTTTTTTTTTTTTAAAGATGACCAGTAAGGGGATCTTAACCCTTGACTTGTTGTCAGCACCACGCTCACCCAGTGAGCCAACCGGCCATCCCTATATGGGATCCGAACCCATGGCCTTGGTGTTATCAGCACCACACTCTCCCGAGTGAGTCACAGCGCTGACTCGAGAGAGTGATCTTTCTTGGTCACTACTGTGTCCCCAGTGCCCAGAATAGAGCCTGAACACCATGGATGCCCTGTGAACATTTGTTGAATGAAAGAATCTGGTAGAGTCTGGGCCAGGATCAAGTTCTCCTGACAGAGTCTCACTACCCATGTTTTTTTTTTTTTTTTTTTTTTTTTTGAGACCGGCCGCCCCTGTATAGGATCCGAACCCGCGGCGGGAGCGCTACCAGCGCTCGCTCCCAGCGCCGCACCCTCCCGAGTGTGCCACAGCCTGGCCCTTCACTACCCATGTTAACGCATGTTCTGAAGTTTTTTGTTGTTTAAAATATGGCATTTAACTGATGGCATCTGTCCACATCAGAAATGGTTAAACCACATCATTTTCTTATGGGGCCAGCAGCCTTCAGTTAAATACACACATCAGCCTTACCAGCAGAAGTCCGTGGAGGAATACAGCGTCCAGTCATGGGGTCAAATTCCTCAGGGCTAGTGGGGCAGACACAGAGGAAGGAGCCTTCAACATTTTCACACAGGGCAGCTCCACACACACCCTGTAGTGTTTCACACTCATTCACATCTGCGAGCAGGAGACAACAGGGGAGAGGGAGTCAATGGTTATAAACTTCTGTGATTCCAAAGGTACAAAAGTCTGAGCTTCAAATATAATTGGCATTTTTAATGGCCCAGATCCTGTCATCCACTTTTCTTCTGGTGACAAACCCTGAATTTTCTTTGTAAACCCTGTGCTTTTCCATTTTCAACCCATTTGTTTTGAGTAGGGCTAAATCTACCCCAAGGGGTGGGCCCAGTCCCTAGGAGCAACCAAACAGATTACTGCTTTTGTTCAGATATAGGCAGTGACCATGCTGGGACAGTCAAAGCCAATCCTGGGACTTTTGCTAGAAATATTGAAAAAGAGCCTCCTTCTTTAACTCTAGGGTTGCCAAGCTGAGGATGTTAGGCTAGAGGTGTTAGAACCATCTTTATTATTGTGAAAAGAGTTTGCCTGAAAATAAACCCAGCAGAGGAAAGCAGAGCTGAGAGGAGGAGATAGAGATAGCCTTGTTAAAATTCCTGGATCCAGTTATGCCTGAAGTTCAGATATACCCCAGGACCTTGCAGTTTTATATCCATTTTAAGAAGTAAAGCCTGTTGTGTTTGCATTTGCGAAAAGTTAGAGAATGTATAATTAAGATTCATGCACTTCACTGTATGTAAGCTGAACCTCAAATGAAAATATCTGTAAACACGTTTTTTTTCTGGCAGATGGCCGGTACAGTGTAAACACATATTGAACTCCAGTTAACGATATGTATACTGAAAAGTTTAAGAAGTATACTGATGCCTGCAATTTACTTTTAAATCTATCCAAAAAAGTAGATAGAGTAATGAATAGATATGTGAAGAAGCAAGTATAATAAAATAATAATACAGTCTGGATCATAGGTATGCAGGTATACATTCTACATTTCTTTCAATTTGCTGTATGTTTAGAAATTTTCTGCATAAAATGTTGGGAAAAAATAATGTTTATGTACACTTAAGATTAGCATGCTTTACATACTTTATGCATTGTTTTTTTTTTTAAAGATGACCGGTAAGGGGATCTTACCCCTTGACTTGGTGTTGTCAGCACCACGCTCTCCCAAGTGAGCTAAATGGCCATCCCTAAATAGGGATCTGAGCCCATGGCCTTGGTGTCATCAGCACCACACTCTCCCAAGTGAGCCATGGGCTGGCCCTTATGCATTTTTTAAAGCATGCAAACAAAAATAAAACCTGAATGAGTAAGGTTCCTGTCACTTGTCACTAGAACAGTTCTGACCAATATGGAGATGATCTTACGTTCCAAGGTCTAAATTTCACAATCCTGAAGTTAATATTTGTTCAGATCTGTGAAGAGGAGAATGGCCTGACCAACCTCTTCCCCACACCTCCCTGGTCCCACCCATCCCCTGGAGCCCCGTACCCACGCAGTGACGCCCGTCCCGCGCCCCCTCGTAGCCCTGGTCACAGAGGCACTGGAAGGAACCGGGCAGGTTCTGGCACACAGCATGGGCACCACAGAAAGACCGGTTCCGGCATTCATCCACATCTGCAACCACCAGAGAGTCAGACCATTTCTGGACCTTCTACCCCCTCCACATCTCCCCCAGTGCTCCATGGACACCCACCCTGGCATCCACCCCCTGGTGTAGGCTGATAGCCAGGGTCACAGGCTGGCGTGCAGCGGTAGGAGCCAGGGGTGTTCTCACAGTGCTGGGCTCCACAAATCGCAGGGCCGTATTCTTGGCATTCGTCCACATCTGCAGGGGAAAGAGGAGGGGATGGAGGGGAGGGGAGTCAAAGACCTGGGTTCAGTTTCCTAATGCCACTTCCAGTCCCATGACTGAGAAGTCTTTGTGAATCTGGTATTCTAGGAGTCTGAGCTTCTAAAGATCAAGTGTTGATAACTCATAAGTCCTCATTGCCATTTCTCAAATAGCCCTACATGGTCCCACCTCAGGGCCTTTGCACTTGCACATCTCTTTGCCAGGAACACTCTCCCCTCAGCTACCAGCATGGCTCCCTCGCACACTTCACTCAGGTGTCTAGGTCAAGCCCTCCTAGCACTCCTTCCCCCACTGCCCTCTCATCTCAACACTTATCCTGCTTTGTTTTCCTTCTTAAACCTGACACTATATTATATGCACATATACTTACTGGTATGCTGATCATCGCCTCCCTAGAATCCAAACTCCACAATGGCAGGGATTTGTGTCTGCCTTGTTCCTCACTACATCGCCAGGGCATAGAACTGTGCCTCACACGTAGTAGATGCCCAATAATTATTTGTTGAATAAATCTTGAATGTATTTACATATTTGTTGTCTGCCTCCCTCCCCCACCTCCCCATGTTAGCTCTATGAGGGCAGAGTTTTTGTTTAACTCATTTCCTGTTGCACCCTCAGTGCCTGGCACACAGAAGGTGCTTAATAAATTCTCGTGGAATTAATGAATGAGCTCTCATGAAACTAGGCTTCCATGAGTCAGAGGTTTAGCACCTAGAGAGCCAAAGGTAGCCTATGGTCATTTTACTTCATGTGGTCCACAAAATGCTGAGCCACACCCACCCACTCCACCCCCAATATATACACCAGAAGGCATATTCATGGAAGGCATGGAAAATGAGAAAAGTAGTCAAGGGGTGGGTCTGAGAGCTGAACAGAGACAGGAAGGGGTGGGCCTATATGTCCTGAAGAGCTGGAGAAGTCCAAGAAATGGGAAAGGACAGAGTATGGAGAATGGGAAGATGGAATTTAAATGGACAGGAATTAGCCTTTGGAGAAACTTTGGTGAATTTCACATTGGGAAAGGATGGTTCCCAGGGCAGCCAGTGTTGGGCCTCTCTGGAGGGACAGCTGGAAGTAGAACTAGTGATGGAGGATGAGGAGAGGGCTCCTCCAAATTTACAGTATTAGGAAGAGAAGGAGACTGAAGAGGGACTTTTAATCCATAGGCCAACTGGAAGGGGTGGGGCCTAATAGTTCTCACTGTTAGGAGTTATCTTTTTAGGGATACAGCCTAAAATGTGGGTATGGCTCTAGCTGCAGAGGGGGCTTAAGCTGCTTCTGGAAGCTAGGCTTAGCCTGGTCCCTGATAGGAGTATCTCCCCCCACCCCACCCCTACCTCCACAAGAAAATACAAGACCACAGTGGTGGTTTATTTCCACCACGGAGATGCGATGAAAGCGGGTAAAGGGTGTTTCGGTTGGGGGCCCTTCCCTGCCCACAAGTCTGTAAGGCATGGCGCAGACTCCAGCAGCCTATCCTGGGAGCTGGGGGAGGGGACAGAAGTAGTCTCACCGTCACAGGTGCCCTCGGGGCCCGCGTGGTAGCCAGGATCGCAGTCCCGGACACAGCGGTAGGAGCCGGGGGAGTTTTCACAGCGCTGAGACCCGCACAGGGCAGGGCCCCGCTCGCGACATTCGTCCACGTCTGAGGAGAGAAGCAGAGCAGTCAGATGGGGGAAGCAGGGGAGGCAGGGAGGCCAGGTGGGGGAGTCAAGGAGGGTAGAGGAGAGTCAGAAGCGGGCAGCGGGGTTAGCAGGAAAGGGGATGGGAGGACGCCCCAGAGGAAAGGCAGAGGTGGGAGGCAAATGCGGGAATCGGGGAATCAGAAAGGGGGAGGGGTCAGGCCGGGGAATGGCCTCTCACCGAGGCAGGAGGTGAGGTCTGGGCCGGCGCGGTGCCCCGGGGGACAGATACACTCGAAGGAGCCGTCGGTGTTGGTACAGATGCCGCTCTGGCAAAGGTCCTCCTCGCTGCACTCGTCCACGTCTACGGGACAGGGTGTCCGAAAGCCGGGCCCACCTCCTCCTCCGTTCAACCTTCCAGGCCACACCCCTCCACTGCCCTCTCCCCGCCCCTCCTGGCTCCGAGGCCTTCAACGCCTTCCCCCATCTGCCGTGGGCTCCTCCCTTCCCGGCAAGTCCCGCTCCCCGACGGGTTTAGGGTAAGTCCTTTCCGGTCACTCTCCGACTCTGCAGACTCCGTCGTTTCCCTGTCCTCCCCATACCCGCCCCTGCTTGGTGGCCGCCCTAAGACTCCGCCCCCACGATGCCAAAAGACCCCGGCCAAAAATTCGTACTCCCCATTCCGCCCCCTTCCCCTTGTCCCGCCTTTTCCTGCTATAAGCCCACCCTATCCGTGTCCAAGCACAGCCCAGGTACCGACCGAGGCAAGAGGCTCCGCGGGGTCCGGGCCGGTAGCCGGGGGCACAGGTACAGGCAAAGGAGCCGTCGGTGTTGAGGCATTCTCCGTGAGGGAAGCAAAAGTCGCCCTCCAGGCACTCGTTGACGTCTAGGGTACGCGAGAGACAGGGCTGCGGGGTCACCAGACCCGTCCCCACCCGACCTGAGCCCCGCCCACAAAGCCCCCAAACCACACCCCACATGGCCAGCTCCACCCACAGCCCCTTAGTCCGGCTTCCACCTCCTGGCTAGGTCCCACCCTCAGGCTTTCCGCCTGGTCCCCACCCTGCCCACCTGCGCAGGGACCGGGCCGACCGGACGGCGCCCGGTAGCCCGGCGCGCAGCTGCAGCGGAAGGAGCCTTCGGTGTTAGTGCAGTGGCCATGGGGACCGCAGGGGGCGCCCGAACTGCATTCGTCCACATCTGTGGGAGCAGGGGTTTCAGAAGGGGTCCAATCTAGGGACACACCCGACGCACCTCCTTGGAGCAGAGGGGTCTGGGGAAGGTGGTGTGAAGGGTCTTGAGTTGAAGACGGGGTGAGGGCCCCATGGCAGAGATGGGTAGGGCAGACCAAGGTTTTCTGGTTCTGAGGACCATGATTGGGAGTTCTGTGGGTGTGGGTTTCTGGGAACTCCCTGTGCCAAGATCCTGGTGTCAGAGGAAGGAACTCTGGATTGGGACAGTGGTCAGAAATTAACTAGGATAAGGGGTCAAGTATTATAAGCCAGGATCATTCAATGGGATTCTGCTGATTCACGGGTCAGAGTCAGTGACAGGAATCTGAGACTGGTTAGGGTCGGCGGTTACAGTAAGAGTTTAGAATTCTGCCTCAAGTCAGGGGTCGGGGTCAGGAATCATGAACCCAATCAGATTCCAGAGAAGAGATTCTGAAAAGGGGCGGGGCAGTGAAAGAGACAGGATCAAGAGTCACACACAGTGTTTTGGTCAGCGTTATGGTCAAGGGTTATGATTAGGGTCAAATGTCACAGTCAAATTCAGGGGTCACAGGTCACATTTATGGCCAGGGAACAGTCAGAGTCAGGAGGGTCACAACTGCTATCAGGGTTGTGGTCAGGGGTTATCAGCAAGGGTTGGGGTTAGGGTCAAGTGTCACAGTCAAGTTGAGTATTCATGGGTCATAGACTCAGAAGTCACATGCAGAGTCAAGTGTTGTGGTTCAGGTCAAAGATGACAGTCTGGGTCGGGAGTCTGCAGTCTAGTCAGAGTCACAGTCAGGCTCTGGGGGATGTGGTTCAGGTGAGAGGATTGAAGTCCTGGTCGGAGGTTATAGGTCAGTTCAGGATCTGGGTCAGGGGTCATAATGCAGGTCCAAGGTCACAGCCAGGGTCTGGTCTCACCAATGCATCTGCCACGGTGCAGGTGGTGGCCAGCAGGACAGGCCCTGCACTGGAAGGAGCCAGGTGAGTTTACACACTCCTGCCCAGGACACGCCAGGTGGTTCTCACACTCATCCACGTCTGGGGGGCAGGGGAGAGGGTGGCCTTGAAGGAGCGGCCCAATGCCCCCCTCACCCATGCACACTACTCCCTCCCTCCCCGGCCTCACCCTCGCACTCGGAGCCAGCAGCATTGGGTTGGAAGCCCGTGGGGCAGACACATTGGAAGCTGCCTTCCGTGTTCTCACATCGGCCATATGTGCAGGGTGTGGGGCTACGGGCACACTCGTCCACATCTGGGGCAGAACGGACCAGTCAGGCTGAGGAAGGGGCCTGGACCCATCCCCATTGCCATCACCACCCACCCCAACATCCCAGTCTTGAGCCAGCCTCCTGGAGTTTGCCCAGGCTGCTTTCTTCACCAAGGAGGATGAACCCTTCCTTGTTTCCCCATTTAATGGGCGCTCAAGCTGCCAGAGTGAGGCTAAGGCACCACTTCCTCCATGTTGCCTTCCCCTCTTCAAGGCTCCCACAAGCACAGGAGTATCACTCAGCAAGGGAAGAGGAATGTGGAGCACTGTCTTACTTTGGAGAAAGGGGAGAAGACTCTGGAATCAGACCCTCCCCACTCTCAGTACCTCGCCCTTCTTTTTTTTTTAAAGATGACCGGTAAGGGGATCTTAACCCTTGACTTGGTGTTGTCAGCACCACGCTCAGCCAGTGAGCGAACCGGCCATCCCTATATGGGATCCGAACCTGCGGCCTTGGTGTTATCAGCACCACACTCTCCCGCGGGAGCCACGGCCGGCCCTAGTACCCCACCCTTCTGCCCTGTCCTCCATCACTGAGTCCCATCACTCTTCCTCTCTGTGCCTCACAAATGTCTCTTCACAGTCTCCAAGGCAAATGGCGGTGGAGTGGGGTGAGACTAAGCACCCTCACCTTGGCAGGGGGCCCCCGGCCCTCGGGAGCGGAAGCCAGCAGGGCAGGCACAGTGATAGGAACCAGCCGTGTTGTCACAGCGACCTGGCCCGCAGGGTGGTGGCTCCTGGGCACACTCATCCACATCCTCTTCACACGCCGAGCCCCGGAAACCAGCCGGGCAAACACAGTGGAAAGAGCCGGGCAGGTTCTCGCAAACCCCTCGGCCACAGAGGCCGGGGCTCTGGATGCACTCGTCCACATCTGCATGGGGCAAGGCCTGGGGTCACTCTTCCCCTCTGTCCCCCACACTCTGCCTCCATAACTCTGCCCCCTTCCCCTGTTACTGACATCTCCATCCCACTCACTCTGCTTCTCCGTCCTCCATGACTCAGCCTTTCTGTTTCCCATCATTTGGCCTCTCCATCCCCAGGTCACTTTCTCTAGTCATCAGGCCACTCGTCTGGTTCTCATTAACTGGCCTCTGTCTCCCATCGATCAGTCTCCCTTTGCCCCCTTGCTCAGTCTCTCCATCCCTCTCCACTGCCGCTCTACCCTTCCCCCTGCACCCCCTTCCCCTCCGCCCCTCCCAGTCCCTCACCCTGGCAGCTGGCTCCATGCGGCGCAGCCTGGTACCCGGCGGGGCACACGCACAGGAAGCTGCCTGGCGTGTTCTCGCAGCGCCCGCGGTCACACGGCGGCGGCACGCGGTGGCATTCGTCCACGTCTGTGGGCACAAACCGGGCGGCTGGGACTGGGGCAGATAGCCCCCGGAGAGACGAAGGGCGGGGACGTGGGACAGAGAGGGAGGGCAGAGGCGGGGCCGAGCTTGGGGCGGGAGCCAGGGGCGGCAGGCGGGGCTTGGAGTGGGGAGGCTTAAGGCGAAGGTGGGGCTTGAGCGGGAAGGGCGGGACAAGGGCTGGGGGCCCCGCCTGGACACAGGAGGGGAGGGTGACCGTGAGAGGGGGCAAATTGGAGAGGACAGGGCAAGGGCAGGAAGGGCAGCCCTGGGGACCGAGCAAAGGGAAGGCAGAAGCAGGGCTAGAGAAGGAAGGGGCAGTTTGGGGACGGGCTCTGGTGTGGCAGGGTGGAATCAAGGGTTATGGTCAGGTTGGTTAGAGCGCAGCCTTATAACACCAAAGTCACAGGTTCGCATCCCCATGCCGGCCAGACTCCAAAAAACAAAAGGGTCGTGGTCAGGAGACTGGTTGAAGCAGTTGTTGGACAGGGGTCGGGCCCGGAGGGGGCTAGTCCAAGATAGGGAAGGGGCGGGGCCCATCGAGGAGGGCAGCCAGGGCGTGGGGGCGAGGCAGCGGCAGGGCCAGGACCAGAGCTGGTTCCGGGGGCGGGGCAGCGGGGAGTAGTAGGTCTGGACCGGCGTGGGGAAGCCTGGGAGGGCAGGAGCGGCTCTGGAGAAAGAGCAGGAGCGAGACCCAGGGAAGGGTGGGGCTGCAGCTGGGTGAAGCGGGTTTCTCACCCAGGCACTCCGCAGCCCGCGGGCCGGCTCGGAAGCCGGGGCCGCACACGCAGCGGAAGCTCCCTGGTGCATTCTCGCAGCGCCCGGGAGCACAGGGCGGGGGCACGCGGCGACATTCGTCCACGTCTGAGAGCACGGAAGGGGCTGGTCACAAGATGATCGGGAACACCCCCCAACCGCCTACGTCCACTCCTCCGCCCGGCTCACCAATGCAGCGGGTGCCCTGGGGGCTGAGCCGGAAACCGGAGTCGCACACGCAGGTGTAGCCACTGGGGCGGGTTATGCAGCGTCCTGGACCGCAGACCTGGGGATTGCGCTGACACACGCCCGAGGAAGGACCTAGGGGTCCAGTCAGCTAGGGTTCCCGCATCTCTGAATCCTCTATCCCTTTCATCACAGTACAATCCCCTCATGGCCTATGCCTAAAACCCCTGCATCGATGTCCTCTCCCTGAACCCATTCTTCTACCTCTGATCCCCCTCTACCTTATACTTTTTTTTGTATCGGGTCGGTAAGGGGACCCCTCTCCCTTACTATGGAACGTTCTCATCAGATCCTCTGACTGAATCTCCCCATAATGCCACCCCCAGTTTCCCACTTTTGAATATTTTGCTCTTCATCTTTCTGCATGAGATACGTTCTTAGTGCCCTCCGTGAAAAATATTTATCTAACATTAACTGAGCACTTACTATGTGCCAGAAATTTCAGAGACTTTTCGTTGAAGCCTCACAATGGTTCCCATTTTAGAGGAGAAAACTGAGTCTCAAGTTAAACGATTAGTTCAACTGAGAGAATTGGAGCCCAAGTCCAACTGCAGCTCTGGATCTAACCACCACCCAATCTTTCACATCCTTACCTCTTCCCACCTGTTCTTTAATGCCTCTACCCATGACATCGCTGTTTGTTCTATCCCAGAATCTTCACCTTGGAGCCTCTTCCCCCAAATCCCCACCTATAATACCCGCATCGATTCCTTTAATTCTCTCTACCGCACCTGATTCAGGAATCTCAGGACCAGTCCAAGCAGGGACGCTGGGCAAGGGAAACTCAGGGCCAGGCCGGTGCTCAGGTCGGGCCTCGGGCCTGGGCTCTGGGCGATGGGTTGGCAGAAAGCCTGGTAAGGAAGGGGTATGAGTGAGTGGAGACCTGGATTTCAGTATCCCCACTCCTCTCTTTCTTTCCCTCTGGAAAGATCCTTGAAGAGGACACCCCCGCCTCATGGAGCCAGCTCACCTGTGGGTGACCGAGAGGTGGCTGGCAGGGCTCGTGGCTGGCTGAGGGATACTCGGGGTGGCTCCTGGCCCAGGGGTCTGGTGTTGTAGCGAAGGTCAGAGGCTGAGTAGTGGTAGCCAGGGCCAGCCGGGCAGATCTCCCGAAAACCCTCTAGGAACAGGAAAGGGAGAGGGGTAGAAAGAGGGCAAGAGAGCAGGAGGGAATGAGAAACAAAGGGGGTTAGTTTAGAGGCTTGCCTCAGTTGGGGTCAGGGCTTGGCCTGAGTGTATGTAAGGGGTTTGGGTTGGATGCTGGGATGGGGTGGTGCCTTAGCCAAAGGACAGGATATCTCAAGGCTAAACATGCCGCCAAGGGTATTTTTCCCCGTGTGGGATGGTGACGGACAGAGGTCGAGGACCGGATCTGGTTTGAGGTCTACAGGGACTGTTTGAGGCCAGGAAGCCGCTCGGTTGTGGGGTTTAGTTTTAGGCAGAAATTACAATACCAGGGAGGTATCTCGGGGAGGGGCGTGTCTAGTGTGGGGCCTAGGGGAACCTGAACTGAAGGCAGTGTCTTAGGAGCTGGTGACTGGACTAAAGTTCGGGGACAGGGTTCGGCGGGCAGCAAATCTCAGGCGCTGGAACTGATGCTCAGGAGATACAGCCTGAATTCAGGGGGTGTCTCCCGGGTGGGTGTGGCTAAGGGTGGGGGGTGGGGCCTTGGACGGCGTACATTCTGAGGCTAGCGTGTCTCAGAGGCTGGGGACGTGGCCAAGGCTGGGGCCCAGCCTGATTCGAGGGCGGTGATCCTCAGGGTCAGTGGGCAGGGCCCAGAGTGAGCTTTGTGCGTTTCGTGCCTGGGGTTAGGTGGGGCAGAAGGCGCTCACCTGAGCCGAAGGGTGGGCAGAGCTGGCAGCCCCGGCCCCAGGCCTTGCCCACGCGGCTACAGCAGCAGATCTGTTTAGTGATGTTGCGCAGAATGGGCAGCGAACAGCCACCGTCGCGGAGCACACGGAAGCAGGGCCCCTTCGCCTCCGAGATCACGTGTTGGGCTGGGGGAGAGGGAAGAAATTCTTCAGGGCAGGGTTCGGAATGCAGCGGAACCGAGAGACCTGGAAGGTAGGGGAATGGTCCCAGGGCGGGTTTGGTGGGTGTGAGGGGCATTTGGGAGATGGCTGAGAGGGTCTAAAGGAAAGCCGGGAGCTCTGGAGGTCTGAGAGGTTTGGGGCCTGAGGGGAATCTGAGGGGTGAATGAGAGAACCTGAGAAGGATTTCAGCATCTAAAGAAAGTCTAGTGGGGGCCGGCCGGTGGCTCACTCAGGAGAGTGTGGTGCTGATAACACCAAGTCAAGGGTTGAGATCCCTTTACCAGTCATCTTTTAAAAAAAAGAAAGTCTAGTGGTCGAGGAGGATGAGTATTTGGGGGTCTAAGAGGAGCTTAAGAAAGTCTGGGAGTCTGAAGGGATTTTGATCCAAACGTTTTGCGTTCTTAGAGAGGGTCTGAAGACGGTCCAAGGAGTCTGAGTGTACGAGAATCTGAGAAGTTCTGACCAACTGAGGTGGACTTGGGAATCTGAGAGGATCTGGGAGGTCTGAGGGAATTAAAAAGCCGGGGATGCTCTGGATGTGGTCTGAGGGCAAGGCGGGCATGGGACCCAGCCTAGCCCCCTCCTGGTAGCTCACAGATGCAGCTGCTGCGGGATGAGTCGAGGAGGAAGCCGTCCGGGCACACACAGATGTACCCGCCACGCGTGTTCGCACACTCCCCGTGTTGGCAGCGCCCGCCTGTCGCGCACTCATCCACATCTGCGAGGGGTGGGGAGGTCACAGTGGAGTCAGGGACTTGATTCCTGCCAGCCCCGCTCTAGAGCCAAGCCCCACCCACCCCTGCCACACCTTCGCAGGATCCATTAACCCTTTCGAAGCCTGTTGGACAAGGTCCATCTGGGGCGCCCACTCGGTCAGAGTTCCCTGTGGAGAGAGGAGAGGGGTGGGCCAAGGACGGGTAGGCAGAGAAAGAATGGGGTCGGTAGGGATGAATATGGGATGGGAGGGACTAAAAAGTGTTGGGTGTGGTTTGAATGCAAGCTCAGCCTTAGGTTGGTAGTGGGTAACTTAGGAGGCTCCAAAAGTGCATGGGTGGGGCCAAGGCACAAAGGCGGGGTGAGAACAGTGGCCAAAGTCAGAAAATGGAGTGCATAGTCCCAGACCCGTATAGATAGATCTAGACTGGAGATGATTCCCACAATGAAGCAGGCGTGGCTAAAACTTATCACCGGGGCTTATCTACAGGCGGAGTAGGAGGAACGGCGAGGTTCTCACCCCTCCCCAGCTCCAAGCACCTCCGAGACATCCTGGGGCTTACCCAGGTGCTCCGAGCACGACTGACAGTCGTGAACGCCCCAGGCCAATCCGTCCCCTCGGCAGCAGACCTCCTGCGTCCGGAGCCCGGGCAGCGGGGACGCACACTGTGGGGAAGTGTTGGGTGAGCGCGCCCCCGCGTGGAGGCAGGCTCCGGGCCCCTCCCCAACAGCCTCCTCTCACTTCGCCTCCACGCAGCTCCCGAAAGCAGTAACCGAAGCCCGAGGCATCCGAATAGCCGTCCTCGCGCGGCGCGCTCTGTGCCAACACGGTGTAGGGCGCCGCCGCCTCCGCCCGCGCCACTGCCTCGGCCCGTGCCACTGCCTCGGCGTCCGCCTCCTCCCAAGGGCCGGACACACGCTCCACCTGGTGCACTACCACCGACGCTTCCTGCGGGTGCTCCACGTGGACGCTCACCATAGACGCCACGCCTGGCGGAAGGCATGGCCGGGCAAGGGGAGGTCTACAAGGGCTCTTACGGACAGGGACTAAAAATGGGGGAAGGGCGATTTGGGGAAGGGTACTTGGGAAGACGGGAAAGCTGGGGGTCAGAGGACCGGTGAGATGGTTGACGGAAGGGTTGGAGGGACTCTGGCCACACTGTCCTCACCGTGCACGTCGTCCCGGTGGTTGGCCAGTGGCATAGTGTACACGGAGCGGGTGAGGCCCGGCATGGCCGGGGCCGGGGGTCGGGCACCCGAGGAGTGCAACTGGCAGAACTTGCCAGCGAAGTCCGGGGGACAGAGGCAGCGGTCAGGCTTCACGCACACACCGCCGTTGTGACAGATCAAGGGACACAGGTCTGGGGGGAGAATGAGGACCTCAGCGCCAGGCACCACTCCTAGCAGGTACCACTGAGGCCAGCTCACCCAAGCTAGCTCAGTCTCCAGCGTTATAACTACGCCCTCAAGAAATCACTCATTTCTAAATCGCTCCGCTCTTAGGTGTCTTGTGGCCCCGCCCCACCTCTGGCCATCTGCACTGGCAGGGTCCAGTCGTTCAGCCCTCTATGGCATAGCCCCGCCCACTAGCCGGCTTGCCACGCCCTCTGGCTCTTCATTTACTTGCCCCCACTCCACTACTCGGGTCCTGCTGATACCACTTTCCGGCTGAGTCCACGGCGTTCCGGCCCCGCCCAGACAGCGCTTTCCCCGCCCATTGCCTCAGCCCCGCCCACCCTAGCTATCCCTTAGCATTTAGCTCCTCCCATTCCGTCGTCAGGCTGGGTCCTTTGCTGTTCCAACCTCTTCGACCCAGCGTTAGTCTCTTCCATTGGCTCAAACCACATTTTAGCCACTCTTTGGCACAACTGCCCCCTCCCCACTCTGTCTCAGCATTCTACGCCCGCCCACACTCCTTCTGGCCCGGTCTGCGACGTTCTAGCGCCGCCCACTGGCCATGCGTCCCCCTCTAGCCCTGCCCACATCACCTTCTACCCGCGGGATTCTAAACTCCGCCTATCAAGGCGTCAAACCTGCCACCTTTAGCCCTGCCCACCTTCCTTCCCTCACTCTATATTGTCCTGACTCACTCACTCACACCCCTCCCACTCCGCCTCCCGGCGATCTAGCCCCGCCCACCTCCCCTCTGACTCGAGCTCCAGAGTTCTAGCTCTGTCTCCCCTCCTCTGTTAGCGCCCGGGCGGGGCCTCGAGCGGGAACGCGCCTTCTCTCTCCTCTGCGCGCCCTCGCTAGGCCCCAGGCCACCTCTGGGCGGGGCACTGCCAGCTGTGCGGCGGGGTAAACAAAGAGAGGGGTGCGGCGGGGGCAGGGCGGCTCCGCATTCCGAACCCTTGGGGAGCCCCGGGACCTCCGAGCCAAAGGAGGCTGGACGTGTCCTGAGAGGCACCTCCCCCGGGGCTGCCGAGAACAGCTGGAGACAGCTGTGCAGAGGGGAAGGAGGGGGCAGGCGGCCGGGCCGTCCACGGAGGCGTGTGTGGGATTCTGAGCCACAACTGTAGAAGGAAAGCACAGGGAAAGCCACCTCAATTTAGAAGGGTAAGGGAGCTGGAGTCCTGAGATAAAATCTGCTGGAGGGGAGTTCTCTGGGTTTCAAAGACAGTTCAAGGTTTCTGCAATGACGAGGCAGCCTAGCTCAGAGGAAACTCAGGCACCCTTTCAACAGAGTCCCTCAAGTCCTTTTGAGGAGAGTTATCTAGAATACAGGACTCTAGTGCCTTCTATGGGATGGCCAGTTTGAGGATGCTGAGAACAGAATTTAGATGGAGAAGTGGGATACCTGGAAGTCCCCAGCACATAAGAGCCTCAACTGGCTGTGACCCCAAGATGCTGTAGACACCCCTTCCCTCCCAGCTAAGGGATTAGGTGCTCAAGTCTTCTGACTGATGGCTGCCTGTGGGGAACAAAGTGTCTGGAGTCCTTTTGGGAGAATCAGCTGATCAAGAGCAACTCTGTGGTTCTCTGAAGATAGATGGTATCAGAAGTTCCTGAGGAGGTGGTTCTGCTGGAAGAGCAGGATTTGGGGAGACAAGACTCAGGAATCTCTGATGGGACTGGGGTAGGCACAGTTGGAAATATAAACAAATGGGAATCTTTTGTAGGAGGAGAATTCAACTGGGCAGGGGGGTTACCACCGTATAGGGCTTGTAATCTGGGGTTTCTCTTGGACGTGGGGAGAGGTAGTTGAGAGATAAAACTACAGAGTTCTCCGGTAAAGGGACACAGTCTGGGAGGATTACCTAGAAGAATGGTGGAGAACTTCCTCAGAGGAGCTTGTCTCTGGAGTCTGTTGACAGGGGTGCGGAGGGGGCTTAGGGTCTGAGGGCAGAGGGTCTGGACTCCCCTAGTTATGAGATCAGGCCAGGACGTCAGGATGCTGTAATGTGTGTGTGTGGGGGTGTCCTTAACTGAGCGGCAGGGCCTAGGAGAGGCTTAACTAGGAACCAAGATTCCAAGATGGGAAGGGTACTCTGATGCGGATGGTGGGAACCCAACCAGGTCTGGGGGCATTTCCCAGCCTCTAGGGGCATTTGTCTGTCTTCACTTGGCCTGAAAGCAGGCCCCCAGCCCAGCTCCCTGAGGGTACCCACACGCGGGACAGGCTGCTAGACCAGCATGGCCAACTCCATGCCCCATGGGGAGCTGAGGACATCGGGGTCCCGCCGAGGTCAACCCCCCTTCACATGCCCCTTCTTGCACCTCCAGGGGCTTGGCACTCGCCCGGGCACGGCGCCTGGCACGGGCGCATTGGGGCTGGGCCGGGAGGGAGTGAAGGAAGGAGGGAGGAAGGGGAGGAGAGAGGGAGTGGCTGCGGGCGGGGGCTCAGGCGGGAGATGAGCTCACGCCGGCCGGGGCTGGGCTGGCTGGGGGCCAGGCTGGGCGAGTTTTCGGCGCCAGGGGCCCCCACTCCCCACTTCGTAGGGCTTGCTGGGTGGGGGGCAGGGAAGCCCCCGACCCCGGAGAGCCTGTCCACCCCCCCGCACCCTGGGACAACAGGTGGCGCACCTTTCCCACCTTACCTGAACCCCCGAGGGCTCCCCATCTCTAGCAGTGCCTGGTGCGCACACTCCTCCTGTCCCCTCCGCCCCCAGGGGGCGCCCCTTCCCCTAGGCCTCCTATCTCGATTTTTCTCGCACGTGGGACCCTTGCAACTCAGGTCCTGCAGAGACATTCCCCTTCTCTGGGCCCTTTCCTTCTTAGCTCTCCGGATCAACTTTCCTCAATCCCGCTCCTCACAGACACTCCGATATCGGACTTTCCTAATCCCTCCCACCCAAAGACACAGAAACTGAGACGTTCCCCCACGCGGCCTGAAACACTCCCTTGGTCCCTGGGGACTTCTTACTAAGAGTCTCAGAATTCTGGCCCTCTTCCCAAAAGTTCCCAGACCCCTCAATTCTGAGATCCCCACATTGACTCAACGGCATAATAGCAGCCCCCAAGCTCCTCACGTTGGACACCACAGGTCCCTGAGAGTCCTCATTGCTTGCAAAATCGGCACCTTCGGGATACAACATCTAAAGCCAGGAATTTGAGGCCCCCTTCCTAAAATACCCGGGGGATGCCCCAGCACTACTGCACACGGAACCTGGGTTCCCTCTCCCTGGGGGACTATCTCCTCCATCCCGCGGGAACCTCCTCCCCCACTGGAAACCCTCTCTCGGGACCACCCCCCCCGCACTCACAGGCGCGGAAGCCGGGTCCCCCCGGGGCCGCCCCGCCGGGCGCGCCGCTGTCCACGCTGGTGGCGTTGCGGGGCGCGCAGGTCGGGGTACAGCGGGAGCCGGTGGGCCCATGGACGCAGCGCAGGCCGCACACGGCCGGGGTGAAGCGCACGCGGAGACGC